AAGTAAAACCAGATGGGGAAAGACCAGGTGGGAGCCTGTCTGACCTCCCTGGGAAGCATGATGGTGGCCAGGACCTTCCTTAACACTGGGCAGATGGTCAGATCGCCCCTCCCTCCTGTCTGCTTTGCTCCTAGGACTGCTGCACTTTTTCTGCAGTTGAATCTTTGGTAGAGAGAGTGGGTGAAGGGCTGGCACACAGAGGTGATGAGGTCTCCCCTTTGATCACACAGTCCAGATTTTCCAAAGCTGGTAAGAGACCCAGGGGCCCAGGGAAGTTCCTGGCTAGAGGGACAAGAACTACAGGCCACATCTGCTTGTGACTTCCAGGCTGTGGAAGGATAGGAGAACGTGGAAGGGCCTGGAGAATAGGAGTCTGGAGGAAGACACTGGAAGGAGAGGGTAGGACAGAAAGAGGACTACTCTCTCTGGCCCTGCTAGGGCTTCCCGGGATTGGGAAATGCTGTGCCTGTGTGGGTCTGCCTCCCTGAGGGGCCGAGCTGAGGCTGCCTAACTTCTTCCCACTTCCAGGAGGATGACAAAGGCCAAGCTTGGATTCCACCCTAAATCCAGCCTGACACTCTGACCTGCAGATAGGCAGGCCAGAGAGAGAGAGATTGAAGTAAGGGAGACCCCAGACTCCTAGGGAATGTGGGAGGAGCCTGGCTGGGCCACGTTTGTGCTGTTTGTGCGGGTCTGGGAATTTCCCCAAGTGTCACTTTGCCCTTTTTCCTCCTCCCATGGTGCCCTAGAAACAGAGGAGTTACAGGCAGGCCAAGGACACAAGGGCAAGAGTTGGGAAGGAGAAAGAGAAACAGGAAAGAACCTAGGGGAGTCAGCAGCAAGCCCCCTAGGTCCAGCCTTCAGAGACCTCTAGGCAAGTTGCTCCCCAGCTGTGAGCTCTGGGGTCCCCCCTGGGAAAGGGAGGGAGACAATCCCTGGCCCTCAGAGGGCTGCTGGTTGTTAATTTCCATGCCTCCTTTCAGTGAAGCCAAGCCCTGTGGCTTTTAATTCTCACTGCCCTGTGAACTTGGCAGTTATCACCTTCCTGGCCTTGATAAGGAAACTGAGCTGTGCCCTGTAAATGGCAGGGATGGGATTAAGTATCCAGTCTTAATCTTATGGTGAGCCCACATGACCTGTCTCTTGGAAAGGGGCAAGCTGCGAGTATAAAGAGTTTCATTCACCTTAAAGTGCTGAATGAATGTGAAAAATCATAGCTACCTTACCATTCCCTCATGAAGGCAGCTACAAAGAATTCAGAAATGCCAAGTGAGGTGGCTTATGCCTATAATCCCAACTACTTGTGAGGTAGAGATAGGAGGTTCAAGTTTTGAGGCCAGCCCTGGCAAAAACTTAGCAAGATCCCATCTCAACCAATAAGCAGGGCATGGTGGTGCATGCCTGTCATCCCAACTATGTGGGAAGCACAGGAAGAAGGATCTCCATCCAGGCCGGCCCAGGTAAACTTGAGACTCTTATCAGAAAAATAACTACAGCAAAAAAGGTCTGGGAGTGTGGCTTAAGTCGTAGTGTGCTTGGTACCATTCCAGACCCTGAGTTCAAACCCCAGATCCACAAAAAAAAAAAAAAGAAAAAAGAATAAATAAAAATGCCTTCTTAGGCTGAGGGAGGGAAGCTGGAACCTCTGGGACTCTGCTCACTTATTTACTCCTTATCAACAGTGAGCACAATTACCTCATGCCATTTCAGTCACTGTCATGCACTGGACAGGCATTATCTCATTTAACTATCGTCCAAATCTCTCTTTAGATACATACACACCCAAAACCAGAAAGTACCTAGAATCCACGTTAGGGTTTAGTATTCCTTAGATTGCCTCAGGCAGAGAATCCAAGGACTGCTCTTTTCCAGTTTCATTTGCTGCCCACCCCCTCCTCCAGTTCCACTCACCCCAGCAACCCACCAAGGTGCCAATTCACCCATTCTCATAATGGAATGAGGCATGTGCTGGTTTGAGTGGAAGCTCCATTTCCTGTCAGTGAGATATGTGGCACCTCACTGCACCAGGAGCAGGAGACATGGGTGCCAGTCCTGACCATCCATCCCAAACTCCATGCAAGACCACCTGCAAGTCCCAGCCTCCCTCTGGCCCTCGGTGTGGTGCCATCCCTCACAAGGATAAGGGTTTCATCTTTTTTTTTTTCTCTTGTTCATATTTCTATCACAAATTTTGCCACTTATTTTGAGTAGGACTTGGAATTGGGATTTGATCATTTCTGAAGACCCTTCCAAGGTGGGCATTCTAAGACATCCAAGCATAATGCCAAAGAGGGGTAAGAAGAGCCTGGTTCTTTGTGCTCTGGGAACTTGCTACTCCATAAGACCTGCAGTAAAGTTACTTATTACATCAAAGCCTGTTTCATCTGTGAAATGGAGCATTTTGAACCTATGTCACATGCTGCTGGAAGACAAGCTATGTAAAAGTGCAGGCCTAGCACACAGTTGCCTTTGAATGCTTTGTAACAACACTTGGTTCGGAGCTAAATCATTTCTAGGTGGATTTTTCTGGTATGTGTTTTATTGACTTCGAATATGGATTTGGGTCTGACTTTGCAGCCACCCTGGTAGAGGTGAAGGAGGAGGGAGTAGCAGAAAGATTGGGAAGTTCTGTGTTTTAAAACAAAGCAGAATAAAACCAAACACAGCTTGGTTCTCCTGCCAGGTGGGGCTTTTGTGCGGGTGCTTGTTGTCACTCTGGAAGAGCAAGAGGTTGCCATCTGTCTGAGTCACTTAGCACACCCAGAAGGCTCAGTTTCCTGACTAGGAAATCCCCTTTCAGCTAAGGGGCAGCAGAGAGTGCCAGGCTAGGGGGCCTGTCTCCTGTCCCCTCTGTATCCCCAGGCTAGGGTACCATAGGGGCTGCAGAAGGTGGCATGGAAGCTAGAGGTTACATTGCTTGGTTTAACAATGAAATTCTACTCAACACGTGCAACCCACATCTAGGTACCACTAGCATGTCTCAAATACCTACCGTGTGCCGAGTCTCAGGCTTTATTTGCTTTATATCGTTCCTCACAATCACCTAAAGGGTAGATACACTTCTCTCCATTTTTCAGAGAAGAATTTGAGGCTCAGAACCACTCAGGTAGTAAGTGGTTGAGGAGGGGTTGGAACCCCATTAGATCCACAGTGTGTGTCTGTGACAGAGTTGAGCTTCTGTAAGAAAGAGAAAAATCTTAACACTGTGATGACAACATGGTGCTGTGGACAGAGCACACGGGACTGAAAGCTAAGGCCCTAAGGTCTAGCCTGGGTTGTCTTACTCAATGTGTGGAGCCTTCAGCAAACCTCTACACAGAGGTCTCAATTTATCTGTCAAGAAAGAGATTGTAACCAATGGTCCCCATGGCCTCTATCAGTGCTCTGAAGTCAAATCAAGATGCACCAGGATTGAAGGAACAGGAAAAGTAGTGAATTTGAACAGGTACTTTTCTCACAAGTTGTAACTATTAAGAGAATGTATCTCACTAGGAAATCAGGCAAAAAGATGACAGGCTGTTTGCATGGCAAGGTCATCATTCTCCAACAAGGTTACCAAGGAGTCATCTGTCACTTTGGAGAATGAAACTTTGAAACTCTTAAGGTCAGTTTACAAAAACACCTGAAACGGTGTGGGAAGAAAGTGCAAATTATTAAAGCCTTTTCATTTTTTAAAGTCAATTTCAATGCTCTTGGAGAGGGGAGGAGTGAAGTTTTGGGTTGGGATTAGGAAGAGAGTGTTCCAGGAAGGGATGAATTGCAAAGTACACTGGAGAGGCAAAAGGAAAAGTGTCAGTTGGAGCCTAAATGCTGTGTGAAGCAGGTCCCAGGCTCCCAATCCCTACAGCCTACCTGAAGTGACATAGTGGGGCCTTGCTCCTGTTTGTGTGTCTCAACAATCAAGGTGCTTGTATACTTCTTTCCATAATTAGAGTGGACTAGAATATTCTTTTGAAACTTGGTAAAGGATGTCATAAAACCTGAAAGGAGAACTCCTGGAAGAGGCCTATATGGAAGTAGGTGCTGTATGTTCAAAACAATGAATTAGCAGGTCATATAACCAAGCATATATGAACCAGTCCCCCAAATCCTTTCTCCCAGTCCTTTCTGGAGACCAGAGCCTGTCAGTGACTAAGTTTTGAATAGTTTCAGTGAAATGGGTCTTTTGCAATATGTTTTCATATCTGCTCCTATCTGTCCTTTATTCCAAGGCTTTAGCCTTTTCACTTTTTGGAGAGGCCTTATCTTTTTGCCCCATGTGGTGGTACACACTTATAATCTCAGATACCCAGGTCAGGAGGCTGAGACAGGAGGATCAGGACTTCTAGGCCAGCCTGGGCTACATAGTGAGACCTAGTCTAAAAAGAAAAAGAAGAAGAAAAGAAAAAAAAAGTGTTCCTACTCCTTACTGCACCACAGCCTTTAGCATTACTTGGATCACATACAGGAAAAAGGACAGATGGTGGACTCTGGATTTGCCCACCTGGGTTTGGACCTTGGCTCAGTCCCTTATTAAGGCCATCTGTCTGTACGTGGAATACAACCCCATCACTAGGGTGATCGTGCGAATAAGATAAAGCAATGCACGCAATGTCTACGATGTGTAGTGGCAAGTGCGCAACAATATTCCTGGCGACAACAGGATTCTTCAAGGGTGCTTTCGGCTGGGAATTTCTTGGCCTCGCTGAGTCCCCGAGGGCCCTGCAGTAACTCCGCGGCCCCAGCTCTGGCTTCTCTCCAAATGCTTACGTGCCTTTTGGCAAGTCCTCTCCCCGCTGCGGCCCGTGTCCCCTACGGATAAGGAAGGGTTGGGTAGTCTTAGCGGCTCTGAAATTCCCGCTTTCTAGGTGGCCCTGGCCTCGGTCCGAGCTTCCGGCGCGGGGAGGGCCTCGGGGCTGCGTGGCCGCAGAGGGCGGCGCCGGAGGGCGCGGCGCGCGGGGACAAGCTCCGAGCGCCCGGTTAGGTCGCGGGCTTTCCCCCAGCCACCCTCATCCAGCGGAACCCGGCGGTCGCTGTTTACCTCGTTCGCCCCGCCCCCAGCGGCTGCGGCTGCAGGAGCGCGCGGCGCGATTGGACGAGCCGCCTGTCAGTCTCCAGGGACTTTCCCAGGGGTGGGGCTGCCTGGTCCCCCTCACTTCCTTGTCTTCGGCGGCGTCCCCTCCTCCTGCCCCGGTCCGAGAACCGGAGGAGTGCCGTGGGGACGCAGTCTGGACACTGCCCCGTTCCTGGACTCAGGACTGGATGCGGTGATTGGGACGCTGTCCCCTACAAGCCCTCGTCCTCAAGTAAGCCGGCCGGACCGCAGCAGGGGACCGAGGGGGCGGAAGGCAGACCGATACTGAGGTCCTTCAGGGACTCGGCGGTGACCGGGCCCGGGGTGAAGGTGGCTTGGGTCCCTGAAGCCCTGTGCGCGACGTCCTGGGGCGTCTCTGGGCGACCAGGACCGGGCAGCTGGGGACGCCCCGCCGACCGGCGAGCGCGGAGGGTCGCGCGTGCGCAGTGTGAGGGGAGCGCGCTGGAGACGCCGTGGAGGCGGCGGGTGGGCGGGAGCGCGGGACCGGGAGTGCGGACCCCCGGGGTGACCGCGGCCCTGAGGGCTGTTCACCGGGAAGCGGGGGGGGGGGGGGGAAGACAGTAGCCTAGGCGGCGTCATTATTAAATAAAGTTCTGTAAGCAGTGTGTACATGTAACAATGAGGAAAACAATAACTTTCCAAATGGTAAACTTATTTATTACATCCATCTTAAACATGAGTATTATTTCTACTCCCATTTTACAGTCGACAAAACCCAAGCACTTGGAGATTGGGTTTGCATAGCTAATGAGTGCAAAGTCAGGATTTGAACCCAGGCATTTGGTTCCAGAGGCCCTGCTCTGCTGTTTCTGTTGAATGTGTTTGTTTTGCACATTCTTGGAGACATTTATGTGCATGAGTAGAGTAGATGTAGTGAGGTCCTGGAGCGACTGAGGGCTCGAGTATTTACTTTTGGCTGAGTGTTGCACCGTAGGGCATTTGTGTACCTGTGTGTGAGATCATGTGCATGGGAGTAATTGTATTATGTATTCATTGATTGTGCGCCCGGGAGTGGGTAGGAGTTTTGTGCAACTGAGTGAGAAACTATGTTTTGGTAAGGGGAGGGAGGGACTTTTATGTATGATGTAAAACCATCAGCAACCGTCCATCCCCACCCCCTTGCAGAATGACAGTGCAGGGAAGTGTGTGGATTCCTACTGCATCATTTTGATTTCACAGCAGCGTCAGAATGGGATTTAATCAGCTCTTACTCATTTTCTAAACAATGGGGGTACAGTATAGGGGAATTCGGCATCTGATGAGTGATGAGAAAAGGGGACTCAATTTTTTTTTTTTATCTCGACAATGGATATTTTATTAGGAGGGTGGAATACTTATACAAACTCTGTGATACTGTGTTACCCTTCTGCAGCAAAGTAAACTGAGGCAGTGAGAAAAACCCATAATGATAGTACTAACAGCCTACTTTTGTGAGTACCTACCATGTGCTAGGCACAGTGCTTTAAAGTCAGCATCCCATGTAATCTTGCTGACAATCCTAAAGTAGTCTCAGTTTTCAGATAAGAAAACTAAGGCCCAAAGAGATTAAGACTTGCCCAACCAGTAAGCCTTGAACCTTGGCCCTGTTCCTTTTCCGATGGCCAAGGCTGTGTCCTGGGAAAATAATGTGATTAGGGACTGATCATGCTCCTCTGGAGGCTACAGATGGGAGTGTCCAGTGTTCTGCATACTTAGGTGACTGTGGTGTCCCCGCACCTATGGCTGTCCTGTGGGTGTGGATACAGTGTGGCCTGCCTCTGGATGCCCACACCAGGATCTTTGGGGCCCCAGGAAGCCGTGGGGTCTGACTCATACCCTTACCCAGTGCTGCTGTAACTGGAGGCCCGGATGCCCTGGTTGGGTCAGGCCGACCTGATTTGAGCATGGTGACCTTGTGGGAGGTTGTTTGTCTGCCTCCCTCCACTGGTTACAGTTTTCCTTCTGTACTGGCTGTGATTTACCACCTGTGCCAGCCTGCTGTTTCCCTCCAGCATGCATGTCTTGTTCTCACACTGAGGCCCTCACCCTGCCTTCCCTGTGCCAGACCCACACCTTTTTCCAGCTCTTCCCATACTGCTTTTTCCTTATCTGTCAACTCTCAGCTCAAATGTCACCTCTTCAGAGGGGCCTTCCCTGACCTTTCTATGCAAAATAGCCCCCTTTTTCACTTTCTGTCACATTACCACTTTTTTTCATACATTTATCATGTTCTGAAATATATTTGTTTATTTGAGGATGAGAAAGTTACTTCATGATTCACAGAGTTATTTTTTTGTTGTCTGTCTCTTTTCCCAGAATAGAAGGGTGAGAGCAAGACCTTTTAGTCTTCCCAAGTGTATCTCTGACAATGGGGAAGAGAGTCTGGGGTGAGGCTCTGTTGAGGAGTTAGAGAAACTAGAATAATGGTGTGGTTCATGGGAAGTAAACTGAGGCAGGCGGGATGAGCCCTCTAGGCATCTCCTTTTGAGAGTTACAAACATTTCCTGCTGTGCTGGGCAGTGTTCACAATGGCTCTGCCCTCCAAGAAGCAGTTGTCAGGTGGGGATCGCTGGGCCCTGAATGCCACCAGGAAGCATCATGAGCCAGCAGGTGTTGTGTGACTGGGGGGGGGGTGCAGTGGTACCAGGGGGCACCAGGTGGTTGGGGGGCTTTTAAAGGGACAAGACCTTAAGGGCAGAGCCTAGGAAGATAGTGAGGTGCGGAGTGGGGCCTGGGTCTCCTCTAGGGCAAAGGAGAAATTTGGAGTAAGGTTCTGTTGGAGTGGGGAGACACCAGCTGGGCCAGGAAAAACTGAAAGCTGTGAGGCCTGGATTTGACTGTTTGTCCTGGTTGGCAGCCTTGGTAAGTGGTTAGAGCAGGTGGTTCACGAATCTGGTCTACATCATAACCACCTTGGGAGGGGCTGGTAAGCACTTATTGCTTATTACCAGAGCTAACAGGGACCCAGTACTGGCAGGGAGGCCGCTGCTGCTGGCCCGGGCCACCATGTGAGGACCCCTGGTGCAGACTGGGGTAGGTGCCGCCTATCCTTCCTCACCTTAGTTTGGTGGGACACCAGTTCCTGGGACAGTGCGGGCCAGGTGCCCACTCAGGACCACCGTGCATGCGTGGTGCTCAGTGCTCAGTGCATAGCAGGGGCTGTTAGTGGTAGCAATGCAACCATGAGGCTGTTGAACAGATGTCAGTGGGAGTGATACAGATGGTCCCATTCCTGTGCTTCTGGGCACCTGGCCTTCAACCCCACCACCCTTAGGACCAGCTCTTACCTCTCTGGCTGGGCCATTCTTTGGTTTGTCTCAGATGTCTGTCCACATTTCAAGTGTTGGCAACTCAGATGTCGGAGATGCTCGAAGGACCATATTCAGTACACCTCTGCCTGAGCCCTCGGGGCTAGGGGGCTCTCTACCTTGTAGACAGCCCCTTTCAATCTCTCCCTCTCTCCTTACTCTCTCCCTCCCTGTCCTATGGGTAGGGCTCTGTCCAGGTGGCTCATTTCTACCTCCCCCCCAGGTTTTCACCTAACCACTTTGAGGGGATGGCCAGTGTTGTGGCACACTTAGGTGGCCACCACAAGACCTGGTAGCAGCTTCTTTGTCGTTGTTGTCCCTTGAGGCCCTGAGTCAGTCTCTGCCTTTGCTGGATTGGTTTCCCAGTGGCAGAATGAAAGGATTGGCTGGTTGCTGCCCCAGTCCCAGGGCACTGCCTCCCACCTTTGGAAACCAAGCTACCCAGCAATTAGGCCCTCCTGTTGGCTCTAGCATGTCGCCATCTCTTCCCATTGGGCCAGGCTTTTCTGGGCCACCCAAGTCCTGTGCCTTGCCCTCCTGTCCCTGGCCATGCACTTAGGGAGGATGCCAGCCCTTCGGGAGAGCTGTAGAGGAAGGCTGGAGACAGGAGCACTCCCTTGTGTGGAGGTGCATTCCTGACCCCCACAGACAGACCTTGGCAGTGACTGTGGTCACTACAGGAAGTTCCCCATGTTCTCCCTGTGACCTCCAGACAGTCACGCTCCCACTGGAACAGATGACTGGCAAGGGGCAGCTGGCTTCTTGTCCTACTGGCCTGCACACTTCCATGCCCCAGGACCTTACCTGAGGCAGTTCCCTGAGAGGCAGGAATCCAGTGTCCTATGCACCTGTGTGGGGGACCAGCCTGGTGCCCCATGCAGGTGTGTGTGGGGGGGTACTGTGGGAGTCCTACTTGGAGGCCACAGCTGGTACTTCTAGGGTGGAGTGGGGTGCACATGAGTCAGGGGCCTTGGTTTGGTCTCCATGCTCTGCAGAGCGCTTGCCCTATCTCCCTGCCCTTCATCCAGATGGCTTCTGCAGGGGTCTGAGGAGCCCTGGTCCCGCCACACCCACACTTCTACCTATGCAGGTGCCTCCACAACCTGACCCTGATGCCTGGGAATGAACAATACTGACTTACAGAAAATACCAAGGATCCTCTCAGATAGAGAGGCCAGCATGCATACACCTGGTACCTGCGCCTGCCATTCAAGAGAGAACAGTTCCCTAACCACCCCACCAGCCCCCCAAAAGAAACTAAGTGTAGTACAGTCCTTGGCCCTGAGGCATTTATAATTTAATAGAGCAATTGGCTGTACACAGAATCACATAAATAAATATGACAGAAGCACATAGCAAACATTTATACATAGCTGAGCACAGCTGTATAGGTTTACACAGGTGCAAAATAACATACCAAGGAGAGAAAAATTAAGAAAGTGGGAGTTCTTACAGAGTTTGGCAACTAGAATACAGAGCAGTGGAAATTTTAAAAGGCCTCATTGGTGCTAAGCAATGTGGAGACTAAGGAAGCTCAGAGATTAGTGAAGAAAAAAGAAATTCCAAATTATAGAAAGAGCAGAAATAATGAATTAGAAATGAGTGGTGCTGAACTGTTACTGAAAATAAATACTTGAATAATTAAAAAAAAAAGCTAAGTGTTCTGAGTATAGTGCTTATCATTTTCTTGTGTTTACAGTTGTATGTGTGCATTCGTAAGCGATGTAGTACTGCTTTATATGTTTTAAATGTTTAAATGTCATCATACCATGTGTATTCTTCCACAAGCTTGCTGTTTTGCTTAATATGATGGTGAGAGTCATCCACATTTCTGTTATAGCTCTGGTTCCTTTTCACTGCCATATAGTATTTCCTGATAAGAAATTGTCAAATGTATTTATGCATTTTCCTCTTCATGTAGGTA